TTCATTACGTGTGATCAGGTGATTGGCTTACCTGATCACGTGATTAGGTGACCCCGTTAACCAATTATGGGAATCGTTAAGGCTGCCCAATTAAGGTGTCATGTCACGGTATCACATAATCACCCAGTCAATTTTGTTAACGAGATACTCAAAATGCTTGATAACTTCGTCATTTCTAATCCGTTTCACGTCATTTTTTCAGATCAGATGCAACATTTAATAATCTACCGTCTCTGAAAAAATTAGACATCTAGCATGTTCGAGGAGAACAATATAAGTGTTTTAATATTGAATGGGCGTGGTCTAAAATAATTGAATTTTCAAATTTTGGTTACGGAATCCTCGAACCAGTAGGTATAGTAAACCATCTGCAAAGCAACAACCCTCAAATATAAAACACGGCGGAGGTATAAGACCCAACGTTTGCACACTGACTTTTGGCCCACCCTGTACATTTGATATAGTGAATACGCAAACATAATATACAACAACAAGATACAAGGGGCAGGTCTCTCCCACAAGTTGGGATGGCCTGAGGTGCTTCTCTCATAAACATAATATATACCGGTACTAACAATAAACTGAACTTCTGTATGTAATTCGATCCATATGTTGCACTTGACTAGTGTCAGTGACTACTTGTCACCGTCAGTCGTCACCGCTCCATGTTGTACATATCACATCATCCTCTAATACATAAATACATACTGGTAAGTGGTAACACGACTTCTGTCCGACAGCGACTCTTGTCCGACAGCACTTTTTTGTGTTTGAAGTGATATCTCAAATTTGGCACATAGAAATTCACTCAAACTGGCACAGATTATTCGTTTTAAAGCTTTCTTACTATCTGGAAAGTTTCAAGAAAATCGTATAGTTGGATCCCCAGATATATGCCCTGGTACCAGTACTGCACTGCAAACCACCGATTTGGAGAAATTTTACTGTCTGATATTGCTGTTACCTGGTTGTGCGATGATAAGCAGTTCAAATTGAATGTTACTATTTCGCTGTATCTGCAGGAAAGAATCCAAAAATTAATCAGCGAATCCTTCAAAAACTACAATTTTTTGTCTATACAATGAAAGATGATTATTTTTCGAGCGTGCTAAATCTGTAAATCACTCTACAGTCTACAGTCGATCTTCGAGATTTTTCTAAAAGGGCCCCCCGGACAGTTGAGACCAACTTAAATCAATGTATTTTCGGACGATGATTCCGAATCACCCTCATGACCATATAATCTAGGGTTAAAATGCTCCCCTGGCGAAAAATTGTTTCGATCGCACGTGATATGACCATTTAAGGAAGTTGGTCTAATTTCACGTTAGGGTTAGGGTTGGTACTACTAGTACTACTAGAGTTGGTTTAATTTAAAATTAAACAGACGGCTTGACCTCGCGCTCGACATTAAGCATATGATTTGCACGCGTACGGCGCATTCCAATGTTCAAGCAGCTAGCACGTGACACGATTCAGCCAATCAGAGTACAGGAATCCGCAAAGTTAAAGTTGCAAACTTTTGATCGGCCCAAAATGGGACTTTTCTGGAGATTTTGAGATAACTTAACAACTACGTTGTCTTAAATTTTCCTCCTGGGGAGGTAACGTTACTTTTACAAGACGAACATGTTACAAAAAACCGGAAGTCTCTAACTCTTTTACTTTCAAAGTTAGGTCCCATCCAGTAAGGGTTTCTGGGTCCATGCTTAAAGCATCACATCAGTAATACCTGCTTTTTGAAAACAATTTTTTATTTGACCATCTCCGGCATTTCAGTGTTAATTTTTACAAGATGTCAGTGGTGCACGCCGCCGCCGAGTTTTTGCTCACACCGCCACGCCGAAGAATAAATTAGCGGCGGTGTGAAAGTTAATTTTCAATTGTATTTGAGAATTTTGAAGTTTCTTGGCACCACGTTTGACTGTCAGTTTTGCTGCTCGTATGAGTATGACGTTGTGGGTTGCTACCATTCGCCCGTGTCCTGGACTCCAGTAGTAGTACTAGGCTATATAGACATAATAAACGGTTTTACAGACTGAAATTGTTCACCGCCCTTAATCGGTATTAGATCGAAATTTGTTTGACTATTTATTGAATTTTATGCATAAACTTTGTGCTCCGATCAGTATTGGGCTGATTCGTACTTGGCCCTTCGATTTATCAGCGCTAGAATTTGATCGTTCTGTAACTGTAAGCTGCCATACTTTCGGCTTCGCTACCATTGATTTTTCCTAGTCGCATTTGGGCAGCAGATTCGGTGGTTTTGACATTGTTAAGTTTTGCGAGTTTCGGACAGCTTCCTGAGTACTGTGTATTAATCATCCGTTTTCTTAACCATTCACGTTCAAATAAATCAACCATAAACTGAAACTGGAAGCCAAAGCGGTATTTTGAGGCCCATCCCGTACAGAGACTGCATTTATGTTCGACAGCACTTTGGCAGCACTTCAAATTTTGAATTGAAGATATTGTTTGCTTTTTTAAGGAAATAAACTTATAATCTGCGCCGTAATAAAATAAAAAAGTTCATTTTCCGAATATCTAACAGGTAAAGTAATGAAAGTATAAAGTTCGAACAAATATTGAAAGTGAAAATTACACATTATAACTGCTAAAACGATTATCCATTAGTGCGTTTGATTCTTAGACTAAAACTTTAAAGACTGCATGAAAAAATCAGTCCCTGAATGGTTTGTACGAGGTGCAGAACAAATACCGGATACAAGAAACATTAAGTGTTAAAAGTAAAAATCACATATTATGTGAACTGTGAAGGAGATTTATCACATTTATCCTAGGAAGAGGAATTAGAAATTGATACCCATCTGTGTTATTTAAGAATGTGTGTTACCACCCTGTTTCAGTGGCGTAACGAAAGGCCCTGCTGACCCCGCTGTGCAGGGGGGCGCCGTCTTAGGGGGGCGCCAAATCGTCGTTTGAATGTGGGACAATTTCGAAAACTTAACTAAAGTACTAGCAAAACTGCGCGTTTTGCTCTAGATACACACTTTTTTAGAGATTTTACTGGCGTATTCTTTAAAATCACCTAATTTGTTCAATTTTAGGGAGGGGCACCAAAAGGGGAGGGGGCGCCAACAGGGGGGGCCAACAGGCAACGTTACGCCACTGCCCTGTTTACTGAAACATAGAAAGATTTTGTGGGTATGTTTGTTTTGCGTTCTGCATTTACGAGGAAATCATAACTTAGTTACCTGGTAGGATTACAAAAATGAAAATTCAACCATAAACTATGTTATGCTATGTTTCTTAATGGTAATAATCTAATATGTAGATAGAGTCAGTCAAGAAATCGAAACAAAAACAGTAACCCATGCCCATTTCAGATAACGTTAAACGAAAATTGTTCACACTTCTATGTAACTCTACCAATTAAAAATCATAAAAATGTACTAGAATCAATTAACGCAGGTTGAAATCTCTTGAGGACTCAAATGAACGGTCCCAATATGTAAAAATGATAGATCAAACATTTTAATTTGCCATTCTGATAATGTACATTGCACAACACTTTACATTTTTATTGTCGTCACAAAATTGACAAATCGCTATTATTATTATCATCATCATCATCCCGATTAACCACAAAATAAGAAATCGTTTTAAAATTTCCGGATCACACGTCCTGCTTTTGCAAACTAAAACCAAATTTTCTAAAAATCTTTTAATAATTCCAGTCCCTTGGTCAGCTCACTGATAATGGACTGAGAGTGACGAATTTGAAGTTCTGACATGTCAACCAGGTGTTTCCGGTATGTTTCCAGTCGGCGATTCTTGAACGTATCCAGTTCTACAGGAGGATTTATTAATTATCATTGATTATCATAACTTTCAGTTAGATCAGATAAGCCTCTCACAATAAAAATAAAAGTAAACACTATAATTATTTGTGGCTGACCTTTTCAGTGATTCAAGTCCGGGCTAATTTCTTTTGAGAATAGATTGAAACTGACGGTATTTAAGGACGATTAACAAGCAGAAATTTCAAGAATTCAAATAGCATTCCTTACCCGTCTTAGCCATATCTGATATCGATTCAAATCTGATCTTACAGTCCTCAACGTAAGCCTCTGCTGTGGGGATATCTTTAAATTTCTTCTGTGCTTGTTCCAGTTTCCCTTCGGCTATTTCCTTGTCAGCAAGCGCGCGTCCTCTCCTGAATAGTGTTAAGGTAAGAGGTATGTAATTTAAATGATATCGAGCACAGTTACCATCTTTAAATTTAAGATAAATAAAGTAGTCTGTTCATCACAAGCCGTGAAATCATGCTCCATCTGCCACTTTCAAGATTATTTGTAGATGAAATTTAGCCAAAAAAGACGGCATATGATTTAACTTTTAAGGTACCGTACATATAGTAAGTAACACTTCGCCGGATTTAAGTCCAGAGGGGGTAAAGGCTCAAAAAAATTTAACTGCTTAACTTTTTTTTGATAATTGAGGTTAACCGATTCTTAAAAAATTAATTAAACAACATTAAGGTTACTAAAATTGAGTTTAAGATGTTATTTCACTCCAAGAAAAGGCCCCCGGTCAGCATTTCCAAACCCGCTCTTTCCACTCGGCTGCTGACGTCATAATATGTGAACGCTCCCAACCCACAACTCAATTGTTCAATATTCCTGCGCAAACTATCAGTATAATCATAACTGTAGAATGTCCCTCATCACGTCGAGACCAATGGAATGGTCAATGGACATAATTAGTTGGTGCATAATAATATTATTTATTATAAAAGTTATTAAGAGTTTACAATTGAAATTTGTATCTGATGAGGGCGGTAGTAAAGTTGACCACAGCTATGCTTAATAAACCATATCATTTACAATTTAGTACTAAACTTTGAACTTATTTTCGATTTTTCACGTTTTGAGTAAGCCTTGAGTTGATCAGTACGATAAGGTAACTCAGAATGTAAATACATTTCATTTTGGTTTACGATTTTAATTTCACTCAGTAATAGGATAATTAAGCAGCCCATGGAAATGTCCGACGAAAAGGAACTAACCATGAAATCAGGAGCAGCAGCAACTGCAATCACGGTAACCATGAAATCATCTTCCACTGGTACATCTCCACAATCCAACTCTTGGACTAAACAGGACTACCTGATGGTCTCACTGGCGGTAATGATAAAGATCGGTGACGGTGTCGAGGCTTACCTCCCCGGAGTCATCACGCAGAAAGTTTCGTTTGAACTCGGTATATCAGATTTTCAAGAGGGAATCCTAGCTGTGATACTCTTTTTGTTCTGGTCAATCGCAGTCTTGGTATCACTCTGGACTTCAGAAAGATTTGGGGAAAGAGTCACATTGCTTTTGTCACTCTATCTGTCCATAGGGTTCGCTATCCTGTGTGCGGTGGTTCCTAATTATTATACCCTCCTTCTCTCACGAGCCTTAACCGGTATCTGTATTGGTTTGAACGATGGTACTATTGGCATATTCCTCGCCAAGCTCCTTTCCTCCAAAGAAGTACTTACCCAAAGTTCCTTTATAGCAGAAGGTCTTGCTACTCCAGTCGGTGGAGCTTGGGTTTCAGTGCTCGGGTGGCTCCTTCTAGACCTCGTCAACTGGAGAGTTTTCGTTCTGCTCACTTCTATCCCACTCTTTGTCCCTCCAATCATCATGCTTCACTTTTGCATCGTTGAAAAGCCGGAGAGAGGAGAAAGTGAGCCAGTTGAGGAGATTAATATTGTTCCGACTGAAACTGCCAGCCTAGTCAGCACAGAACCACTGAGTCTCCTCAATTTTACCAATAGGGTCATAAAATCAAGTCTGTTTTTCTTCTCCAACCTTTGCGTTGGATATGGATGTATTATTCTTCTTCCATGGCTGATGAGAAGTTACAAGAAACGTCTTTCTCTTGAAAATGAGGAAATAGTGCAAGGTAACGATTTTCTAATACTGGTGGCAGTGAATGGTGCTAACGTGATAGGGAGACTCATAGGGTATTTCCTGTGGAGTCGAGTAAAGTTCCTGATCCTGCAATTTACGGTCACAGCAACAATAGCTTTGAGCTACGGTCTTATTCTGGCAGATCCGGGCCTGATAGCTTCAGTGGTGCTGTTAGGGCTCGCAAAGTTTTGTTACTCTATACAGGCTGTAGAGGTTGCTATATATTAGCATACGATTACGGTTATTACGGGAAGTCACGGTGGGAGCTGGGGATTAACATAACCATGGCTTGTGGAATGTGGAATGATAGGGAGCATGTTAGGGACCTCTCTAGCTGCATTCCTGAATCCGTACACCGCAGTTGTGACCACCTTAGTGATAGTGTGTGTCGAGCTGAGCTGGTGGTCATCTGCTTTATGAAGGAACGATTCTAATAACTTCAAGGACTGAGTGTTTGTAAAGAGTGATACTTTTTACCTTTTACGTAAGCTATAATTTCTTTGGTTGTATCGGAACAGTTTTATTTACGTGACCACTCTTTCACAGTTTATTATTAAGCTTTCAAGCAGTAAAATATTTTGTTTTCTGTATTCTTTCAGACTTCTATTTAATATAAGTCTAGTTATACATTATTTTATCATATTTTATTTATCTAAGTTGAAGTATTGCCAAATCCCAGTTCAATTTGTAACGGAGTTTTATATTAACAGGAAACGATGTAACAGAGTCGATATATTTTAATGTTGCCATGGGGTGCTAGTCCCCATACTATACATCGTAGTCCGGTAGTTTCATTGCGCCTTACATGACACATTGACATTGCATTGGACACAAAACTATTTTATAGAAATAATTTACTATTGAAGAAAAGCAACTATTAACTACACGGTAATCCAATTACAAATTATTTAAATAATCAATAGGCCAGTCAATCACATGTTTACCTCAAAAACTTAATCGTAATACTGGGCAAATGATTTATTACATGTACAACAATGTATTGATAAACCAATCCAAGTGTAATATGGTCTATAGCGAGGTTAACAATCATATTTTTACTACTACCACAATTAGATATCATGATAGTTAATCTCATT